ACCCTTTATAAGAGTATAGAGTATTCATAATACACAGTAATTGTTGAAATTGATGAAGTGTATAAAGCATCACTACAAAACATTTTAAGCAGGTCAGTTAAAACGGCTGTCTGATTTTTTGATTTAGAGATCGTTGTTTAAGCTTTTCAAAAGTCCAAAACAGTACAGTGATAAGTGCGTATTTTACTTCTAAAGAGTACTATCAAATTTAATTATTTTTGGTAATAATTTGATGATTGGTAATTAATAACGTATGCAAAAACTGAAAGACTGACTTTTATCGAGCTTTTGTTCGATAGAAAATAACTTGAAGCTTATATAATAGAATATTAGTCGCATTTTGCGTTACTAGTGATTTCTCACACACACACAAAAATGTTTCTTACACAGACCTTTTACTTTTCAGAAAAACCGGGATTACTGTTGTTGTTTTTTATCCTATCTTGTGTGCGAAAATGCTTAAAGCTTTGAATTTGAAATTTCAAATATTGTCTTTATGTTTCTACATACACTGAATTATTAATGGATTAGTGAGATAATTTGGAAACTATTTCCATTTTCATTTTTTTCAACAAGTTTATAATCTACATTTATTTAAATAGATACTCAATTAACAATGAACAACTTTTGTAAAGCGGAATCTTAAAGTAAGAGTCAAACACAATGAAACATATGGTGTGTTCATGCACAATTTAAACGTAATGAAACATAGGGTGCGTTCATGCAGTATTTAAACGTAATGAAACATAGGGTGTGTTCATGCAATATTTAAACGTAATGAAACATAGGGTGTGTTCATGCACAATTTAAACGTAATGAAACATAGGGTGTGTTCATGCACAATTTAAACGTAATGAAACATAGGGTTGTTCATGCAATATTTAAACGTAATGAAACATAGGGTGCGTTCATGCACAATTTAAAGCAACCAACTTCTTCCACCCAGTCTTAACCTTGAAACCAAACTTATTGTTCGCTCCAATCAAAATAGTAGTGTGTCGAAGGCAAGGGTTTTAAACTCTGCTGTTGTAACTTAGTCGTTGGCTTTTTTAGTGTTCAGGTAGAGTCAGTCTTATTTTACATGCCATGTCTCTCTTGCTTAAAGATTTGAATATGTTGTAGTTAAATGTATTTGCTCAACTGAGTGTCTTAAGTTTGTCCACCTGAATTGGACTCGCCAAACAGCGCATTTTATTGTTGTTTGTAAAATTAATTCCAATGGGAACATTTGTGATCTTTTTACGGCTGTTTGAAATACACGCTTTAGTTCAAGGGCTAAGTCTACTTCTTATATCCCGACAGTTTTAAGAGTGATAAAGCAACCGACTTGGACAAGACAAAAATCCGAGTTTAGTTTTGATATTATTTCAAATGGTACCTCATTCAAAGTTGTGGATTTTGTAGCTATGTCAGACTGAATGTAAATTGTAATTTCATTAATATATCATAGCAAGATAAAAAGGTTCATTGTCGGTACTTCGAACTGTTCAAACATTGAGAACTAAGAATTACGCATATGTAAATCTATATGAATGTACATATATCTGTGAATTTGTACAAGACTAAGCTATACGTGTATCCTAGGTATATTGTTCCAACATTTGACAACTTTGTTCTTGAGTACATAAAAATAATACATTGGGTAAATTATTCGCACAAGCAATATACCAAAGCAAACATTGTGTTTCTTTTAACATGCTTGGCTCAAAGCCAGTAGTAACACTTGTAGCTTTCAGGTGTGATTTCAATGTATTATTAAGTAGAACACGTCTGGCCAAGTCTTGCCACATGTTCATATATACAGGTGTGCTGATAAACAGACCCGAGAAGTTTTATATTCATTGGTTTTGCCTGTATATGCACAAAACACAACAGTACTCTGTCTTCCTGTTGATTTGTAACCTTATATTTATATATCATATTTAAATACACCAAATACTTCGAAGAAAACAAGACTACCATCGTGATATACGAGGATAATGAAACACTCGTCGCTGTAGTGACTACTCAACTAAATCCTAGCTATTATATTTCTATTAGAAAGAATTGGTACAAACGTATATAAAAGAAAATAAATGCACTTATTTCCTGAAAAATAGGGAAAGAAATTTAGTCAAGCATCAGAAGAAATTAGTATACAAGACATTTATTTCAAAAACAGAATACCAACATATTAACCACACGGTTACTAACCAACAGATTTGTTTTTGTTTGTTTTTGAATTTCGCCCAAAGCTACACGAGGGCTATCTGCGCTAGCCGTCCCTAATTTAGCAGTGTAAGACTAGAGGAAAGGCAGCTAGTCATCACAACCCACCGCCAACTCTTGGGCTACTCTTTTACCAACGAATAGTGGGATTGACCGTCACATTATAACGCTCCAACGGCTGAAAGGGCGAGCATGTTTGGTGGGACGGGGATTCGTACCCGCGACCCTCAGATTGCGAGTCGAGCGCCTTATTCACCTAACCAACAGAAACTACTTTATAAGAAGTAATAAAGTCACATTAAAACACTGTAGTATGATATACCGTACGTGTTCCTGCTATGTCATATAGATTTGTTAAAACGCTTTATAGTCGTTTGTAAAACATATAAATTATACATTTCT